CGTAAAAGTGATGCGATTTTGTGAATTAAGTTTCCGCCCGTGTGAACATTAGAGAAAACTACGAAAAAAGTGCTTTGATGTCGATATAAACCTAACGTTATTTTGATCGCTTGGGCGCCTTATGTACTTGAAGTGGCTGTCGTCATCAACTGTCCGCTAGCCTGAGCTGCCTTCATAATCTCTCAAGGGCTTTGCAATGTGACGCATCAGCATATTGTGAAGAAAAAGAATATAAAATTAAGGTTCCGAAAGAAATGATAAGCTCAGAAGGGCTAGAACCCAGAGCCGCAAAGCCAGTTAATAAAAAAAGTTATAAAGGTTATGACAATGTTAGCAAAACTATTAAAACGTGTTATATGTCTTAATAATATATTGCCCCAGGTCACAACAGTGTCTTCTCAAAGTATTAATACCTTCACAATGTTTAAATCAGCAATATTTAATTTAAAAGATGCGGGAAAAGATCAAGTTCAAGAGTTTCTTAACTCTTTTGACACTGTTCTTAGTGACTGTGACGGTAAGGAGTCTTAATTTTTTTAATTCTATTCAACTACCTATTTTTAATTAATAGCTGTATAAAAATATTTTAGGCGTTTTGTGGATTGATAATAATGCTATTCCTGGATCCGCTGATACCATGAATTATCTTCGTAAAATTGGGAAGCAAATATTTTTTGTAACCAATAACTCTACAAAGATTAGAAAAGATTTTGCAATTAAAGCTCAACAGTTAGGTTTCATTGCTAATGAGGTAATCTCATTTTCAGGTATTATTTTAACTATTAAGTGATAAATTTTAAATTTAAAGGAGTAAAATCTTCAAATATAAAATGTCTGATATAGCTAATATTTTGTTAATTTGAATTATTTTTATAGGATGAAATACTATCTACTTCATATTTAGTGGCACACTACCTTAAAAGTATTGGCTTTAAAAAAAAAGTCTATTTAATTGGATCCAATGGGATAGGTGATGAGTTAAAAGCAGTAGGCATTAGACATGTTGGAATTGGGGTAAGTTTATTTTAATACTTGTTTAAAATCTTTGGAGGTGTCCCTTATCACAACTGTAAGTATTTTTGGGTGCTCATATAGTTTAAAAGAAACTCAGTGCAGCTCCTGCCACAGCCTTCTAACCTAACAACTGAAAGGATTTCAGTTAAACTATAGGCATCCAGTACCTGCATACGGTGGTAGAAGGTGGAGGGTGTAGGGAGAGGGTTCAGGGAAGGCCACCCCTACCCTTTTCCTTTTGGGGAAATGTATAGTTTATGAGAAATATTTTTTTTTTTTGTAAAATCATTACCTCACTTTATACACAGGAATATTGACACAAAGTTACTTCTGCAACGGCTTTGGCAATACGGGAAGTGCAGCCCCTTTGTTCTTGCATAGCAAATCACAGGCATCCATGCTCACCACCGCAGCTCGCATGGGTGCCTGCAATTTGCTACGGCGGGCGAGGGCTCTCCCTCAGCACCTACGTCTTTACAAAAACACTCTAGGGTAGGGCAGACAAGACTATGTGGAGTCGGGGCGTGCTGTTTCGGTTTTAGAACAGATTTGACCAATCTTATCCATAAAATCAGGTTTCCCTTAATTCTGCTATGATAGTGGTAATATAATGGAATGGTGAAATAAAGTAATGTGAATTGTTATAATTTTGTTTTCTGAAAATTCTTGTGACTGCTCTTCACTGCGACTTAATTTGCTGTATATAAGTCCCGTCTTCAGCCACAAATAGATTGTCTGGGTCCGAGTGATTAACTTTTTTATGAGTTTATCTGTGTTATAAAAACAAACTGACATATTTACATTTTGTTATAAGCAATTTGTGTAAAATTTGTTTATATTGTAATTAATTCAAAATAGATTTCCTACATCTAAAAACAGTGTAATAGGTTCAAGGGTAATCCTAACAAGACTTCTAGACTAAAAATATTATTATAATCAAGTACCGGGTATCTATAGCCAACCCAGGATTTTTGAAAGGAAGATAAAAAATACCATAGAAGTATATTAATGAGACGCTAGTCTTGACATGGTCTTATGTCCTTGTCCCACTTACAAATAATTATGTCGACAGTCCCTACATACATAAGGACATGTCAAAAACCGAGGTTAGATATGTCTATGATGCCTTTATATACACAGGAAAGAATAAAACTGTGTCTAAAATATAATTTAAATAAAATGTTTTGTAGGATCGTAAAATAATGTTATTGTTTTCTAACGAATACATTAAACATCCTAATATTGCCACCCATGAATATAAAAAATGCATCAATGAAGACATATCGCTGTATACGCAGTTTCATTAATTCGAGGTAGGACTATATTTCTTGAAATATAAACGAAGGCATGTCCTTAAATAAAACTATCAGGATTGTGTTTTATTAATCAACAAATTTTATAATTGAAAATTATTTATTGTTAAATATCAATCTAGAATGCAAATATAGATGCTAAGAATCTAAACAATAGGTACTTTTAGTTCCATTGCAGTAGGAATTAAACATTAAAATTCACGGTTGTTTAAGGTTAATCATTAACAATTTTTATTTAAGCAAATTTTAATTTTGTAGTTGGTAATATTTAATATTCATCACATCTTTATTTAAGTGTGTGCCTTAGCTTAATTATCTATCTATCTAATTAGTACTATTAAATCAAATTCACAGTGTTATTTAATTATGTGCTTCATATTCTATCTACCTAATTGGTAATATTTAATAACCATCACAGCTTTATTCAGATTGATTCATCTTATTACTAGTAAAATTTTCTTAGTTAGTAGTTAAATAAAATAATAAAATTTATGTAAAAATTATTTTTTCGTCACTACCCTGTTCTTCATTACTATGCTTAAGATTCTTGTAAAAGTCATGATATTTTTTGGGATAATCATTGTATCGCATAAACTAACCAAATTATTGTACAACTTCTCTAGTTTTGGATTTTGTTCCTTCTTTTTCCTCCCTCTAGTCAATTTCAAATTCAGGCCACAGTTCAGTTTTCTATAATTTTCTTCAAAAAATCGTATTTAAATTCAATAATGTCTTGATTATTCCATTGCACTTTTACTTCTGTTATCTTATTCCAACAAATTTTCTCTGACTTTATCTTTTATCAAGTTTTTAGTATGTAGCCAAGCTTTGAAATTCAAAACTAAGTCTTATTTACTTCCACAACTGTATAAGCTGGGCTATTCTATTCCTCCCAGCGAATCAGTGTTTACCATTCATCTGGTGTGTAAATAAGTTTATTTTTTACTGTTCGCTCTATTAACCCTAGATTCATAAACATATGTAGGAATAACACTATTAATAAACATTCTCTCACAGACGAACATGTTCAGGTATGGTTATTTATGAAATTTTTAATGAAAGAAAACAAATAGATAATTGTATTATTTAACTTCTTTATTGAGTTATTTAAAACTTATATGATAAAACAGAAACATATTTATTCTGAACATTCCAGACACATTAGGCCACGGTGGTCCATACACATGAACTTTTTACAGTGGTTACATTGGAACCTCGTCATTCGAGCCTTTTTGTAATCACAAAAGCTACAAATTTTTTATGGGTTCCACTTGGACTAGGAGTATCGCTGATAGGCGTTTCATTCAAAACTTCTGCTATCTTCCTTTTTAGGCATCGCCTCAAAGTTGGCATTTCACGACGCTTACGTAACCACGGTTCGGTCATTTTCACTGAAACATCTTTCATGAAACATCGTCTGCTTGCTGGTTTTTTACCTTGTTTTACATTATTATGTATGTAAATAACATAAGAATTTATGATTGCCATATTGAGCATGCCATAGAAGTAGCACAGTGGCCATCTTTGCATCTTTCTGCTACAAAACATACCACTACACATTTGATCGAAGGTATCTACGGCGCCTTTTGTCGAATTGTAGAACTCAATAATGTCTGGTTTACCAGAAGGTGCAATAGTACCATTGCCATGAGTGGTAGAAAGCAAGAGAAGCTTGTTATGTTTAGGCTTATAAGATACTATCGTGCTTTGTTTATCATAACAGAACATAGACGAACCTATTGGTCATTCTTTGATATCAAGTATTGCAGGTGGTATTTCACGTTTGTTTGCTCGAAGGGTTCCTACTATTGTAAGTTTATATGGTTCCTTTAGTAACTGATGAGCCAAAGGGACAAGCGTGAACCAATTGTCCATGGTTAAATTACGATTACTGCCCCACAAAGTTTCAGACAAAGTTTTTACATAATAAGATCCGAGTGAATCACCATTTGTTTCAACTTTTCCAACATACGGCATTGCATTTATCATATATTTAGTTTTAGCATCGCATAGCATCAGGATTTTTAGGCCATATTTATTAGGTTTTGACGGAATGTACATTCTAAAAGGGCAACGTCCTCTAAAACCTAGTAGTTGCTCATCTATTGTAACATAAGTTCCAGCTTTATAGCTGTCCCTGCATGTCTGAATGAAAACTTCCCACAGGTCTCTGATGGGCGCGAATTTATCTTGTGATTTACGTTCATCTCTTGTTGACTTATCCTCAAATCTCAAGCAGTTCAACAAAAAATCAAATCTGTCCCGTGACATTACCGATATGTATCGGGTTCCACTAAATGTAGGATCAAATAGTTCCAAGCTGGTGAAATGATTGTCTTTTTTCGCAGCTGACAGCAGAAGCAATCCTAACAAAGCAGTCAATTCTTGTTCGCATGTGGATGAAATTGTTGCGGTTTGCTCTTTATATTTTGAACTTCTCAATACAATTTCTTCGTTTGTATGTCCAACTCTATTACGTATCAAATCAGCCGTCATAAAAATAGAAAAGCAATCAATTGGTTCTATCATATTCTTCGCGTTATTTGTCGGTCCTTGAATCACATGTACGATATTTCTAGCCTGGGTTCTTGTATTCGTAGATTGAAAAGGAATTGAATACCATTTATGACCATTTTTTCCTCCAAGATTGCGAGCAGATGGAATAACTATACGTTATGATGAAGCGGAGTTAGCTGACGTACCTGGGCTTTCTTCAGCTTCCGAATCAGAAGATAAGATGACACCGCTTCGCCTCTGCTGTCTTAAACCGATCAGTTGTTCATCATCTTGAATTTCATTGTTGTCTGAATCTGTCGGGATCTCTTCTTCAATATCGACGTGATCCTCGATGTCGCTCAAGCCCGCGTCTTCTCGCTGAGTCGAAGTATCATTGTCATCATCAGAATCGGATAAACAATTCAAATAATGCTCTATTTGCCGATCTTGAGCATCCATTTCTAAAATAAAATAAAATGATTTGAAGAAAAAATGCGGATGTTTACATGTAAATACACACGATGTTACAAAATAAAATGTACTTGAATAATTGTGACTTATAAATTGTGAGATATAAAAATATTATCACAAACTCACCGTCTACTTCATCAACCTAGAAATCTTCAAAAATCGTATTTCAAAATTTGCAACCGTATTTGTCAAACGTGTATCTATTCATAAATATTCGTCCCTCAGACGAATAAAACTCTAACCGCTCAAGGACACGTCACTGCGAGTAAAATGCACTCGCAATACTAATGGTCCTATGACTTAGGAAGGTGCTTGAGAGGTCAGCTTTCTATCTCTTTTACTCTAAAAATTTTAATCCTTTTTACGTTTCGCGCGGTCTGTGAGACGAATGTTTATGAATCTAGGGTTAATGCGTGAACGCTATCTGCCTCGTTTTGAGTATGGCCTTTTTCCAAGAATTGATGGCACACGTCTACTTTGAATGTATTGCTTACATACAAGTGCATAAAAAACAATGCGATTGCGATTTTGACCGGCGCAGTTGTCTGACCAGAATCTAAAATCTTTGACGCCAGCTTTAACTTTGTTGTTAACGAAAGGAAACAAACAACTAGCCACTTCTTGGCACTACGTTCAGCAACTGTCTCATCCCACATGTAACACGTAGCTTCCTTTAACCCAGCATCAAACACCGTAAAATTAAAAACTGATAATTTCCTTTTGTAATACAGCACACTAATTTCACCATGTGGAGTGTTATTTATTTTTTCAAACATCGCTTTGCAAATATCAGTAGGATTTGACTGAGATTCAATTTTATCAACATTTTTTAATTCCCTGGCAAGTTTTTTGTTACCAATGTGTGACTTATGCTTCAGTTTATCATCATTGGTTGGCGAGGTGTTGTTTTTCATTGCGTGACACAGGTCAAATTGGTCCTTTTAGGTATGTGAAAAACTATGTTAAGTTTTTTGTTAACAATATCTTTGTACTGTCTTACAAGAGTAGCTATATTTTCACTTATATTCAGCTCTTTACACCATACAGTATACAGATCATACATTTTTTTAAAAGTCAATTCACTATCTAAATACCGTTGATTTGAGTCTCTGCACCAGGGGCGTAGCTACCGCCGTATCAGCCGTATCCATGATACGGGGCCCCCGGGCTACAGGGCCCCCCAACATGTGTAATCAAAAATTCGTAAAATGTTATCCACAAATCCACTTGAACTTGAAATCCACATGAACGGGTGCATATGTCAATCGGAATTCATATATATTATTTTTCTTTCGATTTTCTCCCTCTGCTGTGTACAGTCATTTATAGAAATATGATAAAAAAACTGCCCCAAGATACTTTGTAGACATTATCAATAAAAAATTATACATATTTTTTGTTTGAAAGGTAAACGCAGAAATAAAAGAAGTACTTCATAGAATTACAAATTCATGGAAATCTTGGCATAAAATAATTTAAAATGAAGACAAACATTCATTACTAACGTTTTTTGGAATTCTTGCAAAATACGTACAATTTCTTCGCTAAAACATCTGTTGTAGCAAAGTAATTTAGAATACAATTGCAAATGTACATTTAAAGAGACGAATTTAGCCAGGATATTAAATAACGTCTGCTCAATAATGAAATTAGTGTTGATAATTGCTTGGACTAATTGCAAAATTTATAAATTACGCAATAATATTATTTAAAACGAGGCAGTTTAATTAGAATTAATCTTATTTTAATTTTGCAATACATACTGCATGGACTGTACCGGTGTAACATCTGTAACGGTGACGGTAACGGCAATACGTAATATGTTTTTGATTAATATTTTGGTTATTAAAAATTTATTAATAAGTACCTGGATGACCGAGCTTTGCTCGTTTTCTTTTTGATACAAGTTACATACTTGTGAAACATGAATAATATTTTTTGATCTTATTGACATAATAGAAAAAACTAAACTGGTTATTTGAATAAAAATCATGAGTGCAATTAGTTTAATTAAAATTTTTGTATTTTTAAAAAATAGTAAAAAAGGATATATATATATATACAAGAATTGCTCGTTTAACGTTATAGGATTAAAGTGTATGTATTAAACTGTACTTGGGGTAAAAAGTCGGAAAAAAAAATAAAAGTGAACTCCGATTATCAACCCCCGTCTGGTATGGATAGATGAACACGTGTTTGCGAGAATCCACTCTAGGGTGAATTTTTTAGGGTTGACAAACGGAATTACCCAAAAAATATACTTTTTTAGCAGTAGTATAAAGTGCTTGTCAATTATGAGTAACGACTAACGATTCATCTAAAAATATAAAATTACCCTTAAAAAGGTGTCCTAGATCTTCAAGAAACGACGCTTTATCAGCTATAAGGAAGCAATATTTTTTTGATGACTTATATAATGAAAACATTGTAACAACTAAATTTAATTTCCACTAAAAAGACAAACCTTTTTTATTCACTATTTAAAATTTCGATTCAATTTTCATTGAATTGTTTTCTGTCTGCCAAAATTAGTGAATCCAACGAAGAAATTCGACACATTTTGAAGTTTTATTACAAAAAAGGATGCAGCTCGCTCTGGTCACCTTCATACGAATAAAGTCGATGCCTTTTTTGAAAAAGTGGAAGAAGTAGTTTTTTACAACATAGCCGAAGAATTGAAGATTGACCACAAAACAGTCTTGAGCCATTTAAGAGTTTGGCTATACAAAAAAGTTCGATATTTAGGTATCACACGAGCTCACTGAAAGAAACCTAAAGAATCGTACTCTTTTGGGATTCTCTATTGAAACGTAATAAAACTGAACCATTTTTGCAAAGCTTAATCACTGCCGATGTGAGTGGATTACCTGCGTCAAAATCGTTCGATAACGGTATTCTAGTCCACAGACGGTAGCGAAACCCGGCTTATCACACAATAAGGTGATGCTTTGTGTATGGTGGGATAAGAAGGGCATCGTTTATTACGAGCTTTTATAGCTGGGCAAACCATTGATTTGGATCTTTACTACCAACAACTTCTTAGACTCAAGCAAAAAATCAAGAAAAAACGGCCGGAATAAATCATCAGAAAAGGAGTGGTCTTTCATCATGATAACTCCAGACCACACAATCTTTAGCCACTTAGCAAATATTGAGAACGCTTGGTTGGGAAGTGTTAATGCATCCACCATATAGTTTTGACCTTGCACCTTCAGATTTTCACCTGTTTCGGTCACTTCAGAATTCTTTGGGTAGTATTAAGGTAACAAGTAGTTTTGACAGTCCTCAAGAGAGGACTATTTGTCGCATTTTCACGTCAAATCAAAATCCAAAAATTTCTACAGCAACGGGATTATGTAATCTACCTACAAAATGGCAAGTTATCGAACAAATGAACAAAATATCCCATACTCGTATATTTGTTATATTTAAATGTAATGAAACTTTGAAAAAAAAAAGTGTGCATGTGAAACACGAAGAAAATTTCTCCGCACAACATTAAGTTCGCCGAACTAGACAAGAAAAGCTTATATTTGATTTGAATTCTTTGGCTAGCCTATAATCTTTATATATGTATATAATTTTTTCAATTCAATGCGAGCGGTTTCGGGTCTTTCGTTGGGCCCCCCAACAAATTTTGATACAGGACCCCTCTAAGGTACGCTACGCCACTGCTCTGCACGTTGTTAGTTGTTAGTAATTCTGTTCCTTGTTATTGCTTTTTTCACATACTGACGCCTTTTTTTTCGTTGGTGCTGTGTTAATGAACCAGACATTTCACTGGATCCTAACGGGGTGATCTTAAGGTTGCATCGGATAGGAGAACAGTACTTTCGCTTAAATAGTTACATTCGTTTACAGTGTCCCCTGTCTCTGACTTGGCATTGGTGTTGAAACCCAATTTTCGGATATTGTTTGTGATGTTTCATTTTCACAAATGGGCGTGGTGAGATAGTAATTTTCAATTTCAACATTCGAAATTTCTCCTACCGTATCGATTATATAATTTAAATCACTTTGCGATAGTATATTAGCTGATATAATGTGATTTTGTTCTCCATCACTATGTGCTTCGGCAGCTTGTCTTTCGTCGATGGAAACTTCCAAAGGCCGATTTTTCGGTACTTATGTATATCCTATACTATTAAACGAGCAATTCTTGTATATATATATATATATATATATATATATATATATATATATATAATCGGGATCTCGGAAACGGCTCCAACGATTTTCATAAAATTTAGTGTCCAGGGAGTTTCGGGGATAATAAATCGATCTAGCTAGGTTTTATTTTTAGAAAATGTATTTTTGTCCGTGTTTTTAGGCAATGAAAAATTGCTACAATATCGTTAGAATAAGAAGGTAAATTTTGACAGTTTGTTAATGATTATAAATAGCTTAATTGGTATAATGGGCGGTCACAGAATCGTAAAACCCCGGTTCGAGCCCAGACCGACCGACCGACTTTTTTTAATTGTTTTTTCAAGTTCCTTTCTTTTTTGAGACAATCTGTTTTTTCGAGCCCTTTTTTTTAATATTTTTTAAAAACACGAAAATTATAATTAAAATAATTGCACTCATGATTTTTTATTCAAATAACCAGTTCCGTTTTTTCTTTTATGTCGCTAAGATCAAAAAATATTATTTATATTTCATCAGTATGTAATTTGTATTTAAATATAATTTCCAAAACACACGAATTAAAAAAAAATCGAGCGAAAAATACCGAGCAAAGCTCGGTCAACCAGCTACTTCAACAGTAATAAACGTAAATGAAAACATTCATACATAAATTTTCTAGTTACACGTATATACAAACATGTAGGACATGACTTCATATAATTCGATAACAATAAAAACTTTTCTTTATTGTAATTATTTCATAGAAATCATATTTTAAAGAAGCATGCAACTTATAAATATTTGTGCAATAATGATAATTTAATGACTATATCATAGTTTAAGCGAATATGTTTGATTTG